TTTCGGACCAGCAACTAGAGATTTATTTGTGAGATTCAACAGTCTGAGGTGAGTTTTCCTCACTGTGTTTAGCGGGTAGAAGTCACCAATACCGGCCCATGGTTTATTATGTTAGGGTGCTAGATGTTTGCGTGACTCTTGCATGTGTATGTGCTTGTATGCTTAGTGGGCGGGGCCCAATGGCTAATATGTATGCCATTACTTGTTATACTTGTATGTTTGTATGTTGGGCGGGTGTAACATCCCAATTTTCTAGACCAAAAATTTTGTTTTTAATTAAGTGACTTATAAAACAATTTACTGAAAAACATCATTGATTCATATCATTTCATAAAACATAGTCACGTGTCTAAAACTATATCATCAAAATAGTAATAATGTCAGAGTACAATCCCATGGATCCCACAATGCGGAAATCATATGTGTGCGATGCGCTGCTACCGTGCCGGCTCCTTCCCCTTCGCTAAAGAGGTACCTGAAACAAAACTGAAAACTGTAAGCACGAAGCTTAGTGAGTTCCCCCCATCATACCACATACCATACAACATACATACTACCAGACAATTCTGGGGTGCCCGACCTACCCATGTCAGGCATTTCTGGGGTGCTTGACCTACCCTGTCAGGCAATTCTGGGGTGCCCAACCTACTCTCTAGTCCGTACGACTGTGTCACATGGACTATTCCCCCTACTTTTACTATCACATATCATCATATCATGCTAGCACATAAAACATATCAGGTAGTAGCAACCTAGATAATTATCACAAAGACAATCATCTAACATACAAATCCTACTAGTGGGCCGACATTGTAGCCGTAGACCCACCGCTACTGGAAGGTAACTCACCTCGTAAAGCTGAGTGTCAAGTCTCACATGAAGTAATCTCTAACAGCTGCTCCGATGACTCCCGGCTATCATAATCATAATAACATTCAATCAGAATCTATAACACTACTTAGGGTAAAATGACCATTTTACCCCCTTGGCCTAACTTGAACCATTCCTAAGGCCCAATTCTAACTTATTATACCCAGTGCACCCATGGCCCATCAAAGGCTCCCTAAGGCCCACTAATGGCCCAATTTTCTAAATTGGGCCTAACTCTTCAAATGGGCATTTTCACAAGTCCAATAAATCCTTAGCCCAAAATGAATAATCTCGAGTGGCCCAATATGGCCACAAAGGCCCAATACTTCTAATTCCAAATTACCAGGCCCAACACTATACTCCACAGTGGCCCACAGGGCCCAATAGTCCAGGCCCAACCCTCTAAGGCCCAAAAAACCTAAAGGTAGCCACTCTGCATGCGTACGCGCGGCGTACCTGGCATGTAAGCCCAACATACGCTGGCCTTGACCGCAAACGAGAAGTTAGCCTTGTGCGCGCAACGTACCAGGGTGTACGCTTAGCGTACTGGCCAGTTTTCTTGGGACTTCATTTGTGAATTAATCCATTAAGTCTTCACGTCCAAAATGTAGATCCAGGTCCTTTAAGACCTCCTAATCCATAAAGTCACAAACTTTATGTGCTTGCATGCATGGTTGGGGTCAAAACATGATTTTGGTCCTTTTAACAAGATTTATGACCATCAAACACTTGCATGGTTGTGGCTTAACCATCAATGTCCGATTTTTATGACTCTTAATGCCTCTAAGAACCCAAAAGGACATCTCTTATGGTCTGAAATCATCAAGATGCAAGAAGCTTCAACAATGGAGTCCAAAGGTGACATTAAACACTCCTATAAACAAATCTAAGCATGCAATGGTCAAGTTTGGAACTTGATACCTCAACAGAGTTAGAAATGATGCCAATCTCCTGGATCTACAAGCTCCTCTTGAATCCTTGCCTCTTCCTCAACCTCCTTTTCTTCTAAGAACACCAAAATCACACAAAGAAGCTCTCAAATGGCAAAAATACAGAAGTGTGGGTTAGGGTTTTCGAGGTGGCTGCTTAAGGGTGATAGGGAGGCTGGTCCAAAGACATAAGGTCCTTTATATAGGGATCAAACCCTAAATGTTAGGGTTTAGGACCTGCGCGCGTACGCTTTTGGTACGCTAGGCGTACGTGCATGGCCTCCCCGCCCAATTTTATTGAGTACGCTGCCCGTACCTGGCATGGTACGCCCCACGTAATGTCCTTCTCGGCCTAATTCTTGAAGCCCAACGGTCCTGACCCACACCAAATTAACCCACTACTCAATGAGATAATTAATATTAATACCTGGTAAATCTCGGATGTTACAGTGGGGCCCGTTATGCGAGTTAGGGCGAGGCCGACTATACTCAGTGGACGGGGCCCATTATGCAAGTTAGGGTGAGACCCGTTATACTCAGTGGGCGGGGCATGTTATGTGAGTTAGGGTCGGGCACGTTACACTTAGCGGGCGGGGCCCATAATATGTTTGATATGTGTGGTATGTGGTATTTGGGGGAAACTTACTAAGCTCTGCGCTTACGGTTTTCAATTTATGTTTCAGGCACTTCCAGTGCAAATAGGAAGAGCTCGGGGTGATTGCAGTGCACACGCGATATTGTTCCGCATTTCATGATAACTCTGATATTTTATGATATTTTGATACATTTGTTCCACTTGGGATTTATGATGATGTTTTGGGATATTGTTTTTATTCATTGAAAAATGAAAATTTTGGGTCTTATTTTGGGACGTTACAACTATACTCTGAGTTGGGCTCATCAAACCCAAATTCATTATTTTCCTCAAATCTATCATCACTAGGTAGACCAAATGGTAATTTGTAATTATGAAGGAGTTCTACAAAACTAGTATTTGTAGATGGCCATATTTTTTCAATCTAAACACAAATTTGACCCCGGTAAGTTTCATCATTCTCGGCTAGATAAAAATCATGTCTAAGGATGATTCATTTACGTGGGGTGACATATTAAATCTCCCATAATATTGGTAACATAGTGACATATTCAACTTAAGAGTACACTTTTCAACTCTAACATGTGCGTAAACCAAATCTTGAAATTGTTCATACCGTATTTTATGCCTAAGAATATCTGAAGCAGTCAAAATTGATTCATCACCCTTGATGAATTCATTCTCATATTCAATATTACCACCCCAATATAAATTGATCATGAATAGACAAGTTAGAGCCATAATAATGAATATATTGAAATGTAACTGCAAAACAAAACATATGATAAACAATGCAAATTAGTCCTAAGTTTAACATTTCATATCAAATATGCAATATATTTAGAATAAAATACATACCTTATGTTTGAGTTACAAAAGAACAGATAATGAAAATATGAGAGAAGTATGTCAAACTGAGAATGTTAATATGGGAGAAGTGAAAGAAATCAATTCAGTAAATATAATTTATAGTATCACAAGTTACATATATTCAATTAAAAACAAGTGATATAACAATTTATTTAGAAACTTTTTAAGAATTTTTAAATAAATAGTGACGTTTTTGTCTTGGTTTCTACAAGTAATTTTGAAATTGCTTTTACAGACTTTATCCTTGTTTTATCATTGTTTATAATTCTTATAAAAATCATATATTTATTTGTTATTTGTCCATTTCTAATAATATTTGTGCATTTATTTATTATTTACAAAATTTAATAACATTTTATATTAATATTTATTTAAAAGTCTCACACAATAACTTTTTAGTGGTATAACATACCAAATCGGTTTATATAAATAGTAATATTTAATTTATAATAAATATTTTTATGTATATTTTGTTGAAGGTTGAAAACAAAAATATAAAATATAAAAGGTTTAGTATGATACATGTCATATAAATATAGGGGCTATAGATTGTAAATATGTAAAGACCATTTATGTAACTTCAACTTAATCCGGTGAAAAAGGTGGAGTCGCAGCCCCATTGTTACTTTTTCTGTTTTGTCAAACTCTAATAAATTGTGTTGGAGGCTTCCACGTCATTTGTACCAAAAAAAAAAAAAAAAAAAAAGTTCTACGAACTTTGATTCTTGACCAGAAAAAGCATACCAGCTTCTTTCCCATTCATATTCCTTATACGGAGAGAGGCCCATATCAAAAAGATATATGTATTCGTATATCATGAAAAAAGAGAGCAACCTGACTATGCGTTACATGTGCTCCACATGTTGCATTCCTTCTTTCATACCGAATTAATGTTTATATTAATCTATTCTTATTCTTATGTTATTTCATCAAATATTTTGAGAATGTACCATTGTACTTTCACTTTCTTATCATCTTATTTTATATTGTGTTGTGCCATTTTGAATCGTGTAATCTCGTTAGTCGTTACATACCTTTATAACATGTAACGATTGTTGTTATATACTTTTGGTATATTGTGACTATCGTCTAATAGTTTCCTTCTTTTTTGTACTTTAACATATTGGTACAATTATTTATTTGGAACATAACTATATGTACAATATGAAATGCGAAGTTTGGTGACGAATTAACATAACTGAATTAATACAATGTCAGAGAATATTTAATTATTATATTGACTCGTATTTTATTTTATAAAAGACGATATAAGTTTGAAAATAACTTTTAAATATTGTCATATAGACTTGGGTTATATATTTTGGATAAGAATTTATAAACCAAACCAATTGGAATAATATCATGTGATTATTCAGTATAGAATAAAACTTTACCAAATAAAAATCGTTAAAGTTAACGATATGATGAAAACAAAATCAAACCATATCATTTACACAGAATCGAAAATACTATTATTTCAGAATTTTGTAAGGGGGACCGTTTGTACCAAATCGATCAGGTGGTCCATAATATAAATAACAAGCGGTCCATTAAGATATGGGCCAACATAAAGACCAGCTCATTTGTCCATCTAACGTTATTTTGAATTTACTCTATTATAGCAACAGATACAGATACGCATGTATATATATATATATATATATATATATATATATATAAACGAGTCACGAGCAATGCAAAAAGTGAAGTTTAATAGCTATCAATTTGTAAACAATTAAATATTGGATTGCAAATTTTTCAAGATCCATTACACAACAATAAATAAATAATACAGTAATATAGCATCTAAATTTGTCTTATTTTCTTTAGAGAGTTTTCTTTTGCAACGACATTTTGATATTAGGGTTTAATCACTCCATTTTCTTCCCAAGCATTCGATAATCAGTTTGGTAGTAAACAACATCACCCGCATCACTAACATAATGATCTTGTTTGATGCTTTTCACCAAGTTGTCTATCAAGTGAATAGGTATCCAACCAGACTTTTTCGGCTCCCGATAGTAATCCCCGAGCACAGACTTTGCTGCCATTGTCTACACAACACGCAAAATTAACACTAAATAAATTTTAAAAACTTGATCAAAAAGTCGATTTGAAAATAAATAAATACCGCTTCAATCAAATGATAATGTGGGATTTGTGGGAATAGATGATGGATGACATGTGTGCCTATGTCATGATGGATGTTGTTAAATATTCCATAATCTCGATCAACGGTTGTTAATCCTCCCCTCAGATAGCTCCATTCCTTTAGAAATCATAAATGCAATCATCAATGATAATTTATACATCATAATCAATGATATAATCTTTGATTGATCATTATATATACAATATATATCCAATATATATACAATATACACTGAATACAATATACACTGACTGATCAATGTATCCAATATAAACATGTTCAATTAACTTGACCCTTACCTTGCCACGATACCAAGGAAGTTTTTGCTCATGGCCATGGTGATGCAAATAAGTAACGAAATCCAACCACATAACGAATATCTGTAGAACGAAAGCCCGTTAGACCATTGGTAAAATGACAATAATACCCCTGAATCGAAAAGGAATAAGCATACCAAGTAGGGAATGCCATAGAGGTTGAACAATAGGGTTGGGCCAATAATAGTTGACAAAAAGGCTAAATTGGCCACCATTAGAGCCCAACACAAAGTAGATGTCACAATATAATGCCTTTCATTGGGTGTGAACATGTCACTATATGGGTTGAAATGTGACCCTGATTTCCCGGGGCTCCTTTGCCACTGTTTTCCCACAAAGAAAAAACGGGTCGGGTCAAGCATCGAATAGTAGTACCGTACAAGTTAGTAATTATTCAATAGACGTATGAAGTATGATTACCAAGTACAATGGGTAGGCAAATAAGGGAAAAGGAACTTTGAATCTGAGTAGTTTAGTTGGAGCATCCAATGTCTTGTAAGTCTTTTCACTCAACTGGATATTAAATATTAATTAAATAAATATCATCAGTTAATACATAAAAATTTATTGTACAATAATAATTATCAACAACTTTATTTAACAATAAATGATAAATTACCGGAACCCATGATTCATCATTTTCGACATGACCATGGTTTTGATGATGGGTCCTGTGGCTGATTCTCCTATGTTTCAAGAAATAAAAATAATAAAAAAGAAATTAAATATAATATAAATAAATAATTGAATAATTATAGGGCTAATTTGGTAATTGCACAAGCTTACCACCCATGGTAGGGTACGAGGATCGAAGAATGCAAAATATGGCCCACGACGCTATTGAGATTAGGGTTGTCTGAAAAGCTTCCATGGCCACTGAGAATGAGAACCAAAGAAAAAGTAAAGGTTTTCAGATCCAACAAAGAGTACAACTGAAATGGCACACTGTACAAGTGAATTAATGCATAAGGTACAAGTGAGTAAAGCGTGATTAGGTATTGAAAGGCTAACAATGTACGTACCAATCATGACCAAGAACAAAGATTGCCCAAAACATTGTGCCCTGTGCAACCCAGTAAATCGGCCAAACCCATGAACTGGTTTTGAAGATAACAGCTATGGCGACCAATGCGGAAATGACCAAAATGTCCCTGAGGACATAGCTGAGAGACCTCCATGGATTCTTGACCCAGCAATGGCTGGGAATGGCAGCTCTGATGTCAGCCACCTTGAATGGAGGAGGGGCACTTGGGTCAAATTCTTCTTGATTCTTATGGACGCCATTGACGAGAGGCGAAGCTTGATGAAGCTTATCTGTGGCATCTGGAGAAGAAACCGCCATTGAAGCAAGAGGTACAAGGTGTGGCGGAGGGAGAGAAGGGAAAACCTTGCTTTGATTTTCTTTAACTCCAAGAATAATGGGTGATTGGGGATGGGTATATATAGATACAGAATAGTGCAAGTAGTAACATAATTACGAATAATAATATAAAATCAAATATTATGTAAAAGTATAAAATAGATCTATTAATTATATGAATTAATTAAAAAAAAAATTAAATATAAAAGTTAAAATATTTAAAACTTTGAATTTATAAAAAGATAAGAAAAATAATAATTTATTATAATGGAAATGTTTTTTATATTTTAATTTAAACAAATAATTTAAATAAAAAAAATTAATCAACTTTAATTTTGAGAATTTTGAAATTAAAAGGTAAGTTTATTAATGAAATTAATATCCATTTATTTCTACATTTATTCAATTGTTACTTTAAAATATTATATGAAATTTAATAAAATAGAAAAACTCATAAAATTATATGTGGAAAAAAAAATTAATTTAAAATAACTACAAAATGACATTTGGTAAATTGAATGAAAGTGTGACAAATGACAAAAAAAAACTTTCATTTATTAGAGAGATTATCGAATATATTATGATTTTTTTAAAATTATTTATATATTTTATTTTATTTTCTCTATTTAACAACATTTTTATTTTATTTTGTTAATTGTATTTTATATTTATTTTTTGCATTATTTTTAACTAATTAATACAGTTTACTAGATATTAAAAATAAAATAAATTTTTATAATTTTTATTTTTATTTTTTAACAACATATTTATAAAAATAACATCAATGTCATTTGTGATTAAAAACAGCAAATTAGACCAAAAATGTTTATAAGGTTTTCAAAGATGATAAATACTTGATTAGACAAAAGAGCTTTTAAAAAAGAGTGAATACATGATGTGAAAATCTACAGACTTTGAGGATGAAGAAGTCCGTAAACCCACACACGGCAGGGCTTTCGTTGCAAAAGAAGCTGAAACCGAAAGTGCAGGGAAGTACTTGATGGTGACTACTGGAGTGTCTCAGATAAGAGGCTATACTACTGACGGAGGTTGTGATGAAGCAAGGGAGCGAGAAGACAGATGCTTCGCTGCCAAACCTGTTGGCGAGCAGATCAACGAATGCGACCAGTTGATCAAGAAGGTACAATCGATTCTCGAATTGTTAAAAATCCCTGTCACAAACTATGAAAAAGAACTGAATGAACTAAAATCTAAATTTTCCAGTTTAAGTGGTAGTTTAATACAAAATCGCTTAACAAACTCTAACCTAACTGATCAACTCAGCAGGGTGTCTTTGAAGAGTGAGGAGAGACGGATGTGGATAGAGCAAAAGGAGATCGAGTTAGTTAGGATTAAGGATGAGACAATTTATTTGCAAAGGGATAATTTAAAGCTTTTAAAACAGAGATTTTTTTTTGTTTAATTGCTAAGCGTTTATATTCAAATATTACCCAACTGCATTTGAATTGTGAAATAGGCAAGAAAATTCATCGTATGATTCTGCCCTTCCTTGAATTTAAGGAGGATGAAATAGATGCTGATGTATATAACTGTGAAGTTGTTGTATCTTCTGATGAAATTTCTCCAGCATACAAAATTGGTCTTGATAAAATCGAGTCCTTCATCAAGTCCAAAGACCATAAGGACATGCTTAAGAACCTTTTGGACGGAAATGACAAATTAAAAATTAAAACTGAAACCATGCAGAAGTTTGACTCATTGAATGCCAAGTTAAGTTCGGAAAACAAAATCGATGTTGAAAATACTTCTGAATTTAATGAGGATGATGATATGAGTGAAATATCTGTAGAGGATGAGGTGGACTGTTCTGAATTTGTCAAAAGCGAACCCGAACCTGTCAAAAATCTCATTTCTGAAAATTCCGTTGAGTTCGCTCGTTTGTCCCAAACTAAGTCCAGAATTCTGAAAGAAAAAGCTGTGGTATATCAAAAGGTTCAAACAACACCAAATCAGGTTTATGCAGTTACACAAGTCACACAGCAGCAAACAGCCGAACTGACAGCAATAGTAAACGAGGACAATGCTGACGGTTGTGAGGAGCATTTTTTATCAGCTCCAATCGACAATGCTGATGAAACGGTTGGTCTGTCTGAGAAAACATCATGGAGGGTAAAAGGCAGATATGTGGCATAACCACTTAACAAGCCTACACATTTTGATGTGCCAAGCACAAGTGGTACCAAAAAGATTCCAAGAGAACCAGTCAAGGTGACAAGCGAAACCTCCTCGCTAGAGAGCGAAACTCGTGATGAAAGACCGAAACCCAAAGCTAATATCCATAAAACTCCAAAGCAGTGGGCAGAGAAGAAACATCAACATAATAAGAGATATAAAAAGAATCTCTCTGAAAGGAAGCAGTTTTGGAAGTCCCAAAACCCTGATTACGTTCACCCAGATAAATCTTCACTCCTTACCGATGAAGCAAAACCAAAGCGAAAATCTACTTCTTGCTCTAAATGCCATTCCTGCAATCATGCGAACCGAAAGAGTAGTTTCGGCTCCCAAAATGGAAGCAAACGAAATCAAAAGAGTGGTTTCGGTTCTCCATCTTCATACGGAAAGAACCTAAAGCCAGGTTTCGCTTCTAAAACTCATCCCTCTCACTCAATGCAAAATCCAAAAGTGGATATAAAGGGAAAACGGAAGCTAGTCTCGGAAGATGATGAGAAGACAAAGAAAACGACTGCTAACTCTAGGAAACAGAATCAAAAGTTTGTGAACAAAAAGAACACAATTCCAAAGTCTGATGCTAAAGAAACAAAAACTAACAAAATCAAAGTTTTCACAATTAAAAGAAAAGATGAAACCACCTTAGTAAAACGAACCTTTTTGGTTGATTTTTCTATTACTATTCCCTGTTCAGTAAAAGGCTCACAAGGACCCAAGAAACTTTGGGTTCCTAAATCTGCTTAATTTTTGCAGGTTATTCGTGACGAGCAGTTCGACGATGAATGGTATATTGACAGTGGCTGCTCACGTCACATGACAGGGAGAAGGGAAGAGCTACGTGAGTTTCAGGCTCTGAAGGATGGTGGATGTGTCAAGTATGGGAACAATTCTTTTGGCACAATAAAAGGCTATGGAATGATCACAAATGGAGACTTCTCGATCAGAAAGGTGGCATATGTAGAAGGCTTACAACACAATCTCATCAGTGTCTCGCAACTGGTGGTGGGAATCGGGCTGAAGGTTTCGTTCGATGATGAAGGGTCAGAAATAATAGAAAAGAAGACCAAGAATGTTTTGCTGAAATCTCAAAGAAAAGGCGAAATGTATCCATTGAACCTTAATCCAATACGAGGGAAGCCATCTGTATGCCTACTAACGAAAGCTCATTCTAACGAAAGTTGGATGTGGCACCGAAGGCTCTCGCATCTCAACTTCAAAGACATCAACAAGCTAGTTCTTGGTGATCATGTGCGAGAACTTCCACTTCTCAAGTTTGACAAGGAACATTTGTGTGCTGCATGTGAAATGGGAAAGCAAAGAAGGAAAAGTCCTCCAACTCGTGTTAACACAAAGATCATCGAACCGCTTGAGCTCCTACATATTGATCTGTGTGGTCCTTCGGCTATTGAAAGCATCAGTGGTAACAAATATATACTTGTCATAGTTGATGATTTTTCTCGGTTCACCTGGGTTTTCTTTCTTAAACAGAAATCAGAAGCAACGCCTAAGATCAAAACCTTCATAAAGCAAGTAGAGCTTCAACTGCGAAAGGTGGTTAGAAACATTCGCAGCGACAATGGGTTGGAATTCAAAAACCAAGTGTTTGAAGAATTCCTTGCTGAAAAGGGAGTGTCTCACAATTTCTCTGCTCCCTATACTCCACAAAAAAATGGGGTCGTTGAAGCAGCCCGAACCATGCTCAGCTTCGCTTTGTTGCCCCTGTATTTCTGGGCTGATGCTATTGCCGCTGCTTGTTACACTCAGAACCGATCTCTACTCAACAAGCGATTCACAATAACTCGTTATGAAATCCTAAACAACCGAAAGCCTAATGTCAAGTTTTTCCCATGTGTTCGGTTCAAGATGCTTTATCTTCAATTCTAATGTGAACCGAAACAAGTTTGATGTGAAGGCAGACGAAGGAATTTTTCTTGGGTATTCGCTTACTTCAAAAGCATATAGAGTTCTGAATAAACGATCAAAGAAAATCGAAGAAACATATTACGTGTCGTTTGATGATAACTACGTGAAGAAACTCACATCGAGCAAAGAACCAATGAATGAAATCTTTCCTCAAACCGGTCAAGTCTCGATTCCCATTTCCAACTTATTTGAAGAATATATGAAGCTCTTTGATGAACCGGAGACTGCTATTCTCTCTGAAGCGAAAGCGGCTGACAACGAACTAGATAATCTAAAGAAGGTAATTGAAGAAGCTGCTAAAATCATGGAAAGCGAACCTTCCAGTTCCAGTATATCTCAAGAATCTGAAAAATCTCAAAAGCCAAGTGAATCTTCCCATTCTACTATCCAGGGGGAGAGCGAGAATCCTTCAACCACCATACACACTGAACGTCCAATCGAGGGTGAGAATTCTGAGCTTGAAGCCGAAACTGTTTCATCATTCGAGGTGGAGAAGGTCAATAATGAAAATGATGATACACAATCATAATTCGAAGAAGAAGTAAATGTTGAACTGGATCCCTCCTATGATCCAAATTACCCTCCCCTCACCAAATGGACAAAAGATCATCCAAAAACCCAAATCATTGGTGAATCATCGGAAAGAGTTCTCACACGTTCTCAACTGAAAGCGAAACAAACTGTATAGTTCTCTAAAGTGGAATTTTGCATGTTTAATTCGTTTGTCTCCAAAGTTGAACCAAAGACTATTAACACTGCACTCGATTACTCTGATTGGGTACAGGCAATGCAAGACGAACTCAATGAATTTGAGCGAAACAAAGTATGGAGACTGATTCCTACACCAAAGGATGCATCTGTGGTTGGATTGAAGTGGGTTTTCAGAAACAAGATGGACAAAGAAGGAAATATGATTCGTAACAAAGCAAGGCTGGTAGTCAAGGGATATTGTCAAGAAGAAGGGATTGAT